ACACTTTAGTATTTTTATTAGGAAAATGTGTAAAATTTTGGTTTTTAACAAAAAATGGAATTTTACATAATGCTGAAATTGTGGTCTGACAATGTTTTTTTTTAATATATTTGCAATCAGGGGACACTAGAGAATGGGAAAAAATTGCGGGCACATAGAAATTAAAAAAAAAGTATAAATTTAGGACACCCTAATATATATATATATATATATATATATATATATATATATATATATATATATATATATATATATATATATATATATATATATATTTGTTATCTAAACTTTGAATTTATAAGCCTACGAATTTAACATGTTGTAATGGATTTTATTATATTATACGAACACACATACACACACAAAAAAAGAGTTTTTTAAACAATATACGCAACCTTGCAGTCGGATATAAGTCATCATCTTTGCCACAAACAGCTACCATTTTAGTTAGGGGAAAACAAACATTCTTTCGGAAACGCAACCATTAGCATAAACATAAGAAGCCCAACAGTTGTTGTGTTTTTTGATACACACACACAGAAAAATATAAACATCATGAACTCATAGCCGTTTAGTTAAGTCATCTTTTCAAGTATTTGCAAGAAAATTGTATGGACGTTGGTTGATTCCAAGAATTGCAAGTTTATTTACATACCTTTCTGCGGCGTTAAAATCTCATTTTTCAAGTATTCACTTGTTCGTACGAATTCTCTAGTCTTAACTAATAATTTGTTTTCCCCCATTCACGATGGTAATAGTTCACACTATGCAATACCACGTGGGCTTCCGACTGCGAGGATTGAAGAGCTAAGTGCTAAAAGTACTTACGTCAAAAAAGATATGCTTTGAGAAAATCTACTTTGATCAGAGGAAACCTACTTTGATCAGAAATTAAAATAGCTTATCCCCCTTAATCCAGCTGGTTCATCATCCAGTATTTTGCTCAACTGTATACTTTAGGCAAAATAAATATTGTAATTATACGAAAAATACCACTATTCTACTTTTTTTTGTTTTTATTTCCATTAAAATATTTCGTTTTTATTTCCGTAAAATCGAATTTCTCTGCAAAGTTTCTTACAAACTCCAAAAACAAAATTTAAAAAGTAGTATTTTTGCTTTTAAAATTTTATGAGCAAAACTTGTTTTTAACAAATATCATTATAATTTTTAAGATTACATATCTTATTTTTAGCACTAATTTTAGTTTTGTTTTTAAAATAAAAATTGTTATAAGTTAGACTTATAAAAAGTTTACTTATATATTGAGTTACTTTTATTCGGTTATTATACGTTTTATGATTTAAGAGGCATTCTTTTATACGAAAATTAATTGCAAAAATGAAAACCCAATTATAATTTTTTCAAGACTTTTTTTTGTATTGACGTCATTTATAAACTCCATGAGCGCATTAATCAGAACAAAAAAATCTAAGAGCCGGAACTTACCTTCAAGAGAAAAAAATGTTGTCAGAAATTAAGTTTTTTCCTAATATCTCGATAAATAATTTTTTCTGGAAAGTTTAACATCTTTATGATATAAACAAAACTTGTGTTGGCACATGAGGATCACTTTAAATGTCAGGTGGGAGTATATCGGCAAAAGAACAAATACTTTTATGTTAATATCTCAATAAATAAATTGTTTTGGTAAATTTAGTAAATTCAAAACTCATTTTCTAATGTTTATTTACAAAATAGTCATAACTTATATCAGCACTTGGGAATCCCTTTAAGAAGGTCTCAAGAGTCAATAAAATTTTGGTAAAAGAATATTTTATTTAAGTTATTGGCAGTATTTTGACTTGATTTTTTTTATCATTCTTTTAAATTTTGGCAGTAGTTTTTTTTTTTTTTTGCATATGTTGATATATTCACACTATATGCATAAACCAACTCAAACCACGCATTAAGGTGGTTCCTATGTAATCGAAAAAAAGTTTTTTTTTGTTCATCAAGCATTAATTTTCTCAAAAGTAACAAATACATAATCTTCGAACTCCAAAAATATATTGATAATCACAAAGAAGCAAAATAACCCCTAAAATAATAGTCAAAATAACCTTTAAAAATAGAATTTACTAGAAACACAATTAATCATGAGTAAAAGCTCAATTTACTTTCAAACTCTGTATACTTGTGTGTGTTACTTGTATCTAGTATGTGAGTTTTTTTAAATAAAAGATCTAGTTTTCTACTAAAAATTATGCTTCAAAATAAATGTTTTTGAAAAATCTGCTACTAGGCTTCTAATCTTAGTTCCCTAACCACAACTTACAAGTAATAAATTTATTTGAAAAAAACTCAGGCATTAGCAGTAGCTGAATAAGCTCTGATATTTTTTAAGTAGTTATCACTATTAATTCAAAAGTTAAGATGTTTTTTGTAAGACAACTTTCTTGAAAAACGTTATCGCAGAAAGTCAAAAAACAAGAAAAAATAATAGTTTTTAAAACTAAAATTCTCCTTTTAAATTAGTTTCTCCTGCCCCTTTATGTAAGTCTTTATCCAATAAACCCTTATTAATGACTTTTACTTTTTTTCTTTTTGCTTTAATCTTATCTGATATTTTAATAAGTAAATTTTGAATGCTGCGTCGGTTCATTTTTTCAGATATAATATTAAAACAGACATCGGTCTGTATTCCAAGTTTCATACACTTTAACAAGTCCAAATTGACCTTTGTTGAACTGAAGAATAGCACTATATACACCTAACTGTAGATTTTTCTACAAAGACTTGCTTAGGACATTTTATGCAGATAATATTATTCAGCGAATCGTTAGCATTTTGAGTTTTCCTGTGGATGCACTTGCGAAAAAATTTGAAAGATCTTGGAAAATCTTTGACAAGATAGGAAACATCCACTCTGGTAAGTTAGCCCTCTTTTTGTTTTTTTTTAAGTTTATTTTACTTATCACTACATCACGATTCTTCTCCAGGTGGAAAAAACATGTGGCGCTTATCTAAACTAGAAAAATTGGTACAATGATAAAGGATAGCACGTATTCACTTTTTCATTGTGTAAATTTTTTCATCGTAAGTGCAATTTAATTTTAGACTTCTTCGAATAGCAATACCTTGTTATTGAATAGCAATAACTTGTTATTGAATTGATGGATTTGTTTGTCAATTTTCTTTTTTCACTAAATGGTGTAGAGGTATTTTTATATTCTTGTACTAGAGTCCTAAGTCGAGAACCTATTTTTTTATATGTCCAATACATTCAAGTTTAGTAGATGTAATACCAAACTGCCCTTTGTAGGATTTGGAGTTAACAACTTCTTTGTAAAACGTTGTGACTCTTTCTCCAAGATACTCGATATAAACTAGTTTATTTCGACTTACAGGTTGCAGAAATATATCGATAGCACCTGAGGATTCCATTGCTCCTTATGATTTTTGATGGTTTACTTACAATTATAGGCAACTTTTCAATTTGTGTATTCTGTTGTCCCTTTTTTTCCACCCCATATTATACACTATCTACAATGTTTTGATAAAACAATAACATTCAAGCACTTTTCTTTGCTTACTACTGTCACTACACCGATCAACGAGTAGTGTCTTTTTTTTTTGCCAAGTTTCATCAATTGATAGAGGACAAGAATGTATACCTGGGACAATATCTTCAATTTTTGCTTCATTTGCACCATTTTGCATTTTCTATTGTAGAATTTTCGTATGCAGAAAATAACTTATTATTAGTATTTCTAAAGGCAGTATTAGATATTGAGTGCTTATTCATACACTGTGCAAATGTTTTTATTTGATTCGTGCCCTTTACCAATATCTCGAAATGCCATAACCAATCGAATATTAATTTCACTAGGCTTACAACCATACATTTTTTCAGAAGCATTAAAAGGTGAAACTTACTTGTGACTTTTATTTTTACATTTTCTACAAAAGTAAACAATTTTATGAGAAAATCTCTTTTTATCATCCAAATTATTAGATATTGTGACATTGGCTTCGATTCTTGACACTTTTTTCCTACTGCTTCCCATTGGCCACATTCTTGACACTTGTTTCCTACTACTATCATTTCCATAAGTATTTTAAAATTTATAAATAAAAAGTAATCATCACTACTTCTAGAAAGTTCCGCTGGTTTAAGTAAATTTGTTTTTGGTGATATTTTCAATTTTTATATATTTTTTTTTATTTCCATTGATACCACATTTACTATTTACAATATGCACAGATTTTCTACCACGACCACAAACACCCTTTCTTGATAACTTTCTTTTGTTATTTCGAGAGTTAGCCATATTCAATCTTTATTATTTTTCTAGAATCTAACTAAACTGTTTTCTAATGTATTTTAACAAATACATTAGAAAACAGTAAAAAGTAAAAAATGATTATAAAAAAGCCTGCCTGCTGTTTGCACTTTGCAAGAGCATAACTTATAATTATTAAATATTTAACAACTGAAACGTACAAGGCAACATTAGAATAGTAATAGATGTACTACATTAAGTTTAAAGTACATTTAAGATTATAACTAAAAAAATAAAGCGGTTGCTATGACCGTTGCTATGACACTAAAATTATACCTGTTACTATTAAATCTGTATAAAATTGTAAAAAAAAACTTAAAAAAAAATTATAACTCGAGAAAGAGCGTTAAATTTTATATTATAGTAAAATATCTAATATTTCAAAAAATCAAACTTTGAAAAAATTGTAACTTTTGATTATGTAGGAAACAACTTAAATAAAAAATGAATATTTTGATCAATAAAATGAAAGTAGCACCAATAAAACCAAATAAAACAAAACAAAACAAAATAAAACAAAATAAAACAAAATAAAACAAAATAAAACAAAATAAAACAAAATAAAACAAAATAAAACAAAATAAAACAAAATAAAACAAAATAAAACAAAATAAAACAAAATAAAACAAAATAAAACAAAATAAAACAAAATAAAACAGTTATAACAACGTTTATAGTAGTTTAAAAAGTTAAGACAAAAATCGAAAAACTCACTTTTTTCGCATTCAGAGATGACATCTTTCCGTTCACAAAAAATCAATCCAGATTTTATATCCCGCCATTTTTTATTTGGATTATTTCTGCACCAACTATTAAAAATCTCATATATTTTTTCTCTAGTTGTACTGCACTCATGTAAAACTCTGTCTATTTCTATATCACTTATGTTCAAGAAACGAGCAAGTGTTTTCCAATCACGCGGTAACTCGTCAGCAAGCGTAGTGAGCACATCTCTCGAAAGTTTTTTTACTAAAAAGTTTGAAGACTATCAAAACAAAGAAAAGAAAAGTAATACTTGTTTAAACTAAAAATTACCTTTTAAAGAATCAAATTCATTACAATCATCTTGATTTAATTCCATCTGTGCTGTATATATAAATAATAATGTGCCGTGTATAAATGTGATTGTGTTAGTTTAGCTAACTAACTTATCTAAAATAATTGCTTGTCAAAGAATTTAAACAGTAATTCGACTATTTAAATAAGAATACAATGGTTCCTTTTGTTGAACTCAACGCTAAAATTAGGCACTTCAGTCACGTGACTTTTTTCGTTTGAAAAGTTTAAAATATAAACATAAGCGGAATTATTTTAATGCTATCTAATTTTAAACCCAATTGCCAGTTGTATTTCTTTGGCAAAAATTAAAAAAAAAAGTTGATCTGTGGAGATTATTTTTCAAAGTTTCTTAAAAAAAAGCTAGAAGATTTTTCAAGTCGTTTTCTCTATAGTTTATTTTACATACACTTTTTGACAAGTACTTATAATGTTTTAAATTGCTTTTTTTGGGTTCTGGCAACAAACAATATCAAAAAAGATTATTTTGTTAAATATTTGATACTTATTTTTATACTAATTTGTTTTTTGATATTTTTTCTTGACGCCATTATGGTACTACTTTCAATCTATATCTGGTTGCGTCTTTATTCTGGCCGATTTTCAAAAAAATCATTAATGCAGGGTTGTATTCATTCCTTTAAAGTAAAAATACAAAATTTAGACTTTATAATTTATAAATATGCAGCTTAAAATATTTATTGACACGTTAACTGCTTTAAGAACATTTTTTTTAAATTTGATAAATGTTATATTCTGTAAACTCGATGTTTGGTGTTTTCAAAGTTTTTTTGATTTCATTCAAATATTTTGCTTTTGTAAATCTTTTAAATTGCTACTAATATTATGATATAATATTGTTAAACTGCGTATGCATTTATGCTTATTTTGTATAACGTTTAATAGTTATTTTTTTTTTTGCATTTCTGTGTACAATCTTATAACATACTTTTTAGCCATTATACTTTATCTGGCCATAATAAGACTTAATTCTGGTTATGCATGAAATGCATAGTTTTTAAAACTAATCACTTAAACACAGATATATATATATATATATATATATATATATATATATATATATATATATATATATATATATATATATATATATATATATATATATATATAAATATAGGGGTCGTCCATAAATTACGTTACGCAATTTTTGACATTTTTTGACCCCTTCCCTCCCCCTCGACCGCCCCCAATATAACGCAACAATTTTGTACCCCTTTCCCCCTTGAAAAAAAAAATTTTAAGTTTTTTTAGGAAAGATGGGAGGGGGTGCTAAATTTTACAAAATACAAAAAGATTTTAGATATAATAATGCTTATACATGCAAAAATATTTATTTTCTTTCAGATAGCAACATAACCGTGGTCGAGTGGATTCTCCCTACGAAACCGAGGGTCCCAGGTTCGTTTTTCGGTATTGAGAAATTTTTTTTTGTTATTACACAAAGATTGTTTTTCTGTTGCTGCATACTTTTGTGCACCAACTAAATAAAGTTCTGCACTTGAGCCATATAAATTCAAAGCGCAGAACGTGCACTGCACATGCAGCCATAACAGTCTGTTAACAGGCTGTAACTACTCCGTTAACGGAATGTACATATCAATTAAGTAAGGTGTAAATTTTGCTTTTAAACATAAAAAAGCAATGAAGGGTGGAATTCCTACAGAAAAATGGTGGCGTGGGATCTGCAAAAAGCATAAAGATTTAACTTAACGTCAACCAGAAGGTACAGCAGCTATTAGACATCAGTGTATGAATGTTTGTAAAGTGTCGAAATATATTTCCATTCTTAAAAATGTGTCAACGTAAAACAATTTACTCTAAAAAACCGCAAAAATTGATGAGACTGGGATGCAGTTTGATTATCGGCCTAGAAAAATAGCTGCTAAAAAAAAATTTATGGACATCTACAATGTCATCAATCAGGTAACCAGAAACAATCAGAGTAATACCTTGTGTCAATGCAATAAGTAACTCTTTTCCATCACATTTCATATTTAAACGAAAAACTACTTTTCTAATTTGAAAATGTTCCTGAAGAAGTGTTTCAGACAGTGGTTGGACAAAGCAAGGCATTGCATTTCTATGGTTTACAAAGACATTTCTTTCCTGAAAATTTTGATTTTTATTAATGTATATGTATTTGTTTACTCTTACAATATAAAAAAGCTTTCGTTCAAAACAAAAGTTTATTTTTTTGGTTTTTACAGAAATTTTATTGTCTTTGACCCAATTGCACCAAATGGGGCAAATGTGCACTGCGATTCTTCTATATATTTTAGAGTTTTATAAATGTGTATGAACTTGTTTACTCTGACAATATGAAAAGCACTTATTCTTTAACTAAAGTTAATTTTTATTATTTTTACAGAGCTTTAATTGTTCTCGTTTCAAACGCCTCAATTCGAGGAACTAAACTTGAAATTTTTACATAATTTTTTAACATTTACATAAATATAAATGTATTTTTTAACTCTGAAAATTTAAAAAAACTCTTTTTCTTTAACTAAAGGTAATTTTTTTTTTTGTACTCTTTTGCCCCAAAATGGGAAAACGTCCTCTGTGTAATATAATCTTATAAAAATGCTGTTATCGCCCACCATCTGGTGAAATAAATAGTTTTAAGTCATATTTAATTACCGATATCATAAAAAAAACTACAATAGAAAAGAAATTAAACTGCATAATTGGCAACATAAATTTAAACGCATTCAAATATCACATAAGTTGCAAAGTTAATGGATTTTATAATGATTTATTTGAAAACGGTGCACATCCGATTAATTAATAAACCAACAAGGGTAACTTCAATGTCTGCTTCCTTAACAGATAACATTATGATTACGGACAATTCTAATGAGTCCCTCAAAAAGGGTTTAATTAAAAAACGATGCTTCAGATCATTTCCCGATTTTTTTCTCGATAAATATTGATATTGACTTAGTACCGAAACAAAATCAAGTTTACTTCAAACGATGCTTCAGCAAAGCAAACATAATGTCGTTTAATGAGCAGCTATCTTTACTACACTGGAAACATTTTCATCTGAAGCACTATCCTTACTACTCTGAAAACTTTTCATCCGAAGCAAATCTAGTTTATAACTCGTTCTTAATAACATTTTTTAAAGTTTATGACGCAAACTTTCCTTTACGCGAAGTAAGTCAAAAAAAAAAAGCATTAAGTCGCCATGAATTACCAAAGAACTTAGAAAATTGTCCAAAGTTAAACAAAAATTGTATATTAAGTATCTAAAGTCAAAATTTGATAAAAATAAGCGATTTATAAAAATCACGTTAAAAATTTTGAAAGTCAAAGAAAAACTTAAACTTACTAGAGAAGTTTAAACATAACTTAAAGCGCACGTGGCAAGTTGAAATCACTGGTAACCATAAGATTAAAACAAAAGTTAAATGAAATCACTGGTAACCATAAGATTAAAACATGAAACTTACCAAAAAGTTATGAGAAACAATGATGATTTTATACATAATCCAAAAGATATAGCTAATCAGATAAATAACTATTTTGTATCTGTTTGTCCTAATCTAGCAAAAAATATTCCAGTTATAACCGACAAAACAAATTATTTTAGCCTTCCCAAAACATCTTTCTAAAAATAAAATATTTAATGCCAGTCAATATGGATTCAAAAAAAATAACTCCACGGAATACGCCATACTTCATGTAACTAGTAATATTGCAGATTCTTTTGAGAAATCACAATTTACTCTTGGAGTTTTCATTGATCTATCAAAAGCCTTTGATACCATAGATCATGAGATTCTTATACAAAATTTTAAAAACTATGGAATCAGGGGAAATTTACTAAATTTGCTAAAAAGCTATCTAAGCAATCGTAAACAGTTTGTACAAATTGACGTATCCTCTTCAACAAGTTTACTAGATATAACATGTGGTGTTCCCCAAGGGTCTATACTAGGGCCACTACTTTTTTCATTTATGTTAATGATCTGCACAAAGCCTCAAATTTGAAGACAGTAATGTTTGCTAATGATACAAATCTTTTTCTATCCGGTAAAAATATCACTTCACTGCTTCGTCGGCTCGGGATGCAATTGTCGTATCGCAAATTTATTAAAGTTATATATAAATATGTAATTATCTAATATATGTAAGTTTAACATCGTATATTAATGAAAAACGTTTTTTTTAAAACGTTATATTAAATAATTTACATTAAATAAATTTTTACATTACATAACTTTAAACTTACATAAATTACGTTATTACATATTTAAATATAATTTTAATAAATTTGCGATACGACAATTGCATCCCGAGCCGACAATTTAATGAAATCAACATAGAACTCTTTTATTTATGTACAAATGTAAGATAAACCTAACCCCTAAATCCTTTCAAAATTTATATGCAATAAAACAAAAAAACAAGTATGACTTAAGAAATGACAATCTTATTTATCAACATTATTCTCAATGCAAGTTTTGGAAGATCTTTTTTTAACATATCGCGGAGCTCTTTTGTGGAACAAAATAGTTTTGAAAAATTTTGATTTTTCTCAAAGTTGGAGTTTTCTTACTTTGAAAATTAAACTGAAAAAAGTTATCTTGTCAATTGATAATATCTTTGAGTTCTTTTGAGTTTATATCTTTTAAAAAAGTGTGTGATTCCTGAATATATTGTTTTATTTTGAAATATTTAGTTTTATATATATTCTTTATGTTGTTAAACGTTATTTTATGTTTTGAAATATCTGGTTAGATTTAAATTTTATTTATAAACGTCATTTATTGTAATTATTTAACTAGTTATATTTTTACTGCATTGTTAAACGCTTCTCAGTTATAGGATCTTACGATCCTCTTTGAGTCTCCGTGTTCTGATATTTAATGTACAACGATATTTATACCATAATATATTGTAATAAGAACAAAAAAAAAAAAAAAATGTTTACATATTTTCCGAATAATTATAAATTAAAATGAATTTGTTTATTCTGACAGTTTAAAAAAGGTCTTTTATTTAACAGAAATTAATTTTTATTGTTTTAACAGAGCTTTAATTGTTCTTCGCCCAATTGCTCTGAGTGGGGGAAACAAGCCCTAAGATTTTTAC